AAAAAAGATCTCAAGGTCTAAGCTGACCACAAGCTTGAGAGATACAGGACTGTAATGGCTTATTAACTGTGGTTTCCTGGACTCCACCCATGTCTACACTTTTAAATCTCAACCCTGACCTTGTTACTGTCTTTACATTTCTTCCATAGATGCCCGTCATCTGGATTAACATTCAGTCTCTCATGGGTGGAAGCAGAGAACAGAGACCTCTAAGCATTTCCCTCAATCCTACACGTCTGAGTTTCCAGCCCAAATTCCATCTTTCCCCATAGCTATCTGGATTGGGAGCATGCATACGCAATGCACAGTACGGGCCTGCCAATTACAGTCCACCACCTTTTTTTGTAAATAAAGTCTTATTGGAACATAGCAAGCCCGCTGACTTCCATACTGTTATGGCTGTTTTTATGCTATAACTGTAAAGCTGAATAGCGGCAAAAGACAGTATGACCCCCAAATATGTACCATTTAGCCCTTTACAGAAAACATTTGCAGGCCCGAAAAGTAAAATGGTAACACACATCCTAGAGCACCCTGGGCTTCTAGTCCTACAGGTGCCACCTGTCCAGGCAATGCCCTTTCCATCAGAGATCAGTTTCTGTATTTATAAAATGGGAATAGAGATAGTTGCCTCACGTATTCAGCATGAAAAGTCTATGAAATAAGGGACTCAGAGCGGCCACATGCGGAGTCATAAAGGAGTTAAATGAACAGTCCACTCACCAAAGGCAACAGGCCTGGCTTTGGCCCCATACCCCATACATTGTAACTATGTGATTGGGGACAAATTAACTTCCTTGAGACTCAGCTTCCTGGTTCTGCGGAATGGGAACCATCAGAGAACCTGGTATCTGACCCACCCGAGTCTCATTCTTTTGGTTAGCACGAGATAACCCACAAAGTATGGCTGGCCCAGTAACAGACATGCGGGGTGTGGCTCATGCATGCTAATTATTATTTCTGAAATCATTTACTTGACCTTAGAGTAACTTTACTTTTGAGCCTTTAAAAAGATGAGTCATCACAGGCAGTTTTGCAGCTCAGTGAAAACTGGGATGTGAACACCGCTCAAAAACATGATGTCAGCTGTGCAAATATAAAGGCTTTTTACACCCACCGAGAGAACGACTAGAGCGGGATGGATTATGCCAGCCCAGGCTATGGGACGGGGGCTACTGCTTCCAACAGGGGGGCCTGCTAGACAGGAAAGGCTTGACCACAAAGATGAGGACTGTAGAAACACGCGCTCATGTGCATTGCTCGTCTTCTCCATGCCAGACAAGGTTCTGACTGCTCCATCCTCACCCTGGTCCCAGGACATAAGTCCTGGTGTCCCTTTTTTAAAGTGGGGGAACTGGAGCAGGAAGAGGTTGAAGGATTTGCCAGGGGTGGACACAAAGCTGCCAAGTGCCACAGCCAGGATCTGAACTCAGGCAGGCTGGTCCCGGCGTATGCACATGACCTTAACCTCAGAGCCTATGGGCAATGAACTTCCTGTTGCATGTTCTAGAATCACAGGATGTCAGCGGGAGGGGATGTTTAGAGAAACTCTAGTTAATGCCCTTGCTTTACAAGTGGGATCAGTGAGGTATGAGCACGAAAGCCCAGAGAGGTGGGCAAGGGGCCTGGCCCATGGTGTCACGTGGCCAAGCTGGGACTTAAACAGGTACCTCTCGTCCCTTTGCATTCTGGGACAAGGTGACCTGTGGAAACAAGGAAGCGGTGGACACGTGTATGTATACATGTGTGTGAGTGTGCATGTGATGGGGATCAGCCAAGAGCATCTCCACTCACCTCCCCTTTCTCCACCAAAGGCTTCACCTCCGCGAGGTCCACATCCTGCAGCTCGCGAGACATATCTCTGATGTCACCTGCCTATGAGAGGACAAAGGCCAGGAGGTCAGCACTTCCTGATGAGAGATATTTCCCAAAGGAAGCAAATCCCAGGCCAGGGAATGAGTCTGCACTCTGCCCAGGAGTTCTCACCTCCTGCATCGCACATCCCAGGTCCTCCCCACCACCCATCCCAGCCTTGTACCCCAGGGTGGGCTATAGGTTTCCTGGGACTAGAAACTGATGCTTAGGGGTGCAACTACCTTTCCAATGAAAGGGATCAACACTCAACACCAGGTCTTCCCATCCAGTCCAGTCCAACCCAAAGCATTTCTTGCTGCATTGTAGAAGGGGACCCACATCGCTGATCCCAAAGTCAGGCTGTCAGGCTGACAACCAAAAGGGGACGGAAGGGCACAGGAGGCCAGCCCACTGCGGGCAGGCACGGCACAAACTTCATCCTCTTCCACCCTCAAAGCAGTCCCCACAGAGGGGTGGCCTCACAGATGCCCCACGTCCACCTCTGTGCAGGGCTGTCTGCCATTTGCTGGGTTGAACAGGCTGAGGGGTCAGGAAGACCTCAAGCCCAGGGCTTGACAAGACTGACTGCTCAGGAGGATTTTCAAAGAAAAAGGACCTTTAAGGCAAAAAACACTTTTTGAGACAAAGCGGGGGG